CTCTCTCTCTCTCGCTCTCTTTCCCTCTCTTCCTTTCTCTCTCACTCCCTCCATTTTGTTCACAGAAGGACCTCATATGATATTTGTTTAATTATCTCTAGCGGTGTCTATATAATTCCATATAGAACTCTCTATATGTTGAAATTTTAATGTTACCCGTTGGTAAATAAATTTGTTGTATGTTACATTTAACTTCGACGCTGTTCTTTGTCAAGATTGCGAACTTTGTTACGTATACTATGTTTTGTTATGTTTGTTATGTCTGTTATGTTTAGTGTTTGTTATATGCTATTATATTTGCTATGTTTTGTTATGTTTGATGTTCGCTACGTTTTGTTAATTTATGCTAATTGCGTCATTTGTTACGTTTCCCCATGATTGCTTTGTTACGATACGCGCTGTTGTCGTTGCCAGGTTACCGCGTTGCTATGGCCGACATGTTGCGACGCTACCACGCAGACGGACAGATCTACTGAACCAGAAAACATGGCGTTAACAGCAGCAGGACGTCTTTCGATTTTCTCGATGTTTCGTCTGCACAGGTCGCTGCAGAGAGCGCCACCTCTGACTAGATGCCTACTAGCGCCCCTATCGGCGCAGCAGGACGTCGGCTCGCGTCGGTCGGCAGGCGGTGTGAGCACAGTAACGATGATCCCGGGAGATGGCGTCGGCCCCGAGCTCATGACGTCGGTAAAAACCGTCTTCAAAAACATCGGCGTGCCAATTCAGTTCGAGCAAGTCTTCATCAGCGAGCTGCACAGTAAAGAGAGCGCCACCGTCGCCGAGGTAGTCTCCTCGATCCAGCGTAATGGCGTCTGCTTGAAAGGCATCATCAGCACGCCACACGGCGTCGGCGGGGAGCTGCAGACGATCAACATGAAGTTCCGACGCGCGCTGAATCTCTTCGCAAACGTCGTTCACGTTCAGAGCATACCAGGTGTCGCCACGAGACACGAAGCTCTCGATTTTGTCGTCATCCGTGAGCAGCTTGAAGGGGAGTACTCGGCGTTGGAGCATGAGAGCGTGCCGGGGGTCGTAGAGTGCCTAAAGATCATCACGCGCGCAAACTCGGAGCGCATCGCCAAGTTTGCGTTCGATTACGCAGTGAAGAACGGCAGGTCAAAGGTCACGGCCGTGCACAAGGCAAACATCATGAAACTCGGCGACGGCTTGTTCTTGGAATCGTGCGCTAACGTCGCGCCGTTGTACCCGTCGATTAAATTCGAATCGATGATCATCGATAATTGCTGCATGCAGCTCGTGTCCGATCCGTATCAATTCGACGTGATGGTGATGCCGAATCTATACGGGAACATCGTCGATAACCTGGCTGCGGGACTCGTAGGCGGCGCTGGCATCGTTCCGGGGGAGAACTACAGTCCGGAGTACGGCATTTTCGAGCCAGGCGCTCGGCACCCGTTCGCACACGCCGTCGGACGTAACGTCGCCAACCCTACCGCTATTCTTCTAGCCAGCAGCAAGCTGTTGAGTTACATGAAGCTTAATTCGTACGCGGACGCCATCCGCTCGGCTGTCTTTGATGTGATCAAGGCTAAGAAAGTTCGCACGAAGGATCTTGGCGGTCACGCGACAACGAGCGAGTTCACCATTGCTGTACTTAATGCGATTAAATTTTAGATACTTGGTCATAGTAAATAACATTGGGCGGTAACAATTCAACGTTTCTTTGCCAGCAGGCTTGGCCCCACAGACCGAAACAGGGAAAATGGTTTTTATTTCACACACAAAAACATTTTCGCTAAATATCTGTCGGTCTTCTCCCATAATATGTTTAAGAAAATCAAATTCAATCATTATTTTATCTGGTGTGCGTGTTCAGCTATTTATCAAATTTTACCTGTACTTTTGATTACTTGAATATATATCTGAATATAAGATACTACAGTTACGGCATTGAGGCTACGAAAATACTTGCTGATTTTAGTGGTGTGTATATCAAGGATTAACATGTGCATTGATTTTAGAACATTGTGTATTTGCACATATAAATATAAGCGAATAAACACTTTGTATGTTACGATTTTTAACCAATCTATCTTGCTTTCTGTAATTATATTATATAGACAACGTTCTGTGCCTAATAATGTGAGTTATTGTGATATAAATTATTATTAAAAACTATAAAATCATTATCATACATACCTATATATATATTTTTTTTCTTTATTTATTTATATATAAGTATACATATGTGTTAATAATATATGTGAATAAGAATATAAATATTCTTATCTAATGATGGTGAATAACTTTTATCTATCTATCGCCGGCTTAATGCTGAAATAGAATGAATCAGGCGTCGCTCTAACAGCGAATCAGTTATTAATTCTAATATATAATAGTCCTATTGTTCTTTCTAACAATTGATTTAACCACGGGAACAGCAAAGTAACGCAAATATTCTACAATAGTTATTAACATGCACATGTGGAATATACTGGCTATGACAATGTACTTATAAAGGTAATACTATCTACCGTGCACAAAGGAAACCCGCCAGAGGAAGCAATGAATTCGATACGACCCAGTCGGAAGCGGCGGACCGTGTCTGAATCCGAAACATTCAATTCAAGCAGACCGCAGAGACGAAACTTGGCGCGTAGTATTTCGGAATCGGGAGATTTTGCAGCCACTATACAAACGAATCAAACGCCATCAAAAACTAATACAAATGAAATCGACGACAGTTCGATTATCGATGACCCTATTATAGATAGTCGCTGGTCATGGTTCGTCTGCTTTGGGGCTTGGATCATTAATATTGTGGTAGTTGGTGTGCATCATGTGTTCGGAATACTTTACATTGAACTCGCAAAAGAATTTCCGGATGCAACAAATGCTGAAATAGGTAAGTTTTCCATTAATAGATCATAACATTTACGCTGTGGAAGCTGTACCATTTGTGTGAAATTAAACACGTTCCCATTGTTTTTTCTACAAACTACAGTAATATCTCATACCACAGCAACGCACATTACTAGAAACGATGCTCTGACATACTTTAGTTTCCTTCGAGAAATCTTATTTGGAAGTGCTTTGTGGCTCGTTCAAAAGGCTGCCTGCTATTTCCTTACAGTGAGGCATGGGGTCACCGACCACATGAGAACATAATCATGCACAATGTGTGTATAGAAAGATGCGTTATTTTTAAAATCACTGTCAAGCGATCAACACGTGTAGCTAAATCGATATCTATGATTCCATTTCACAGCATGGGTAGGTGCTGCCGCCTATGGGCTTGTGATGGCATGCGGACCCTTAACCGGAGTGCTGATTGGACGATACGGTAGCCGGCCTGTTGCAATTACGGGCAGTGTGCTTGGAGCCGTAGCTCTCTTCTCATCTTCGTTCGTCACGCGACTGCCCCAACTATACGTCACGTATTCGATCCTTTTCGGCGTCGCAACCAGCCTGAATTACACACCGGCCATGTGCATCTGTACGCAGTATTTTAGGAAACATATTTCTACAGCTACGGGCATCCTTATGTCGGGTAGCAGTACAGGAACGCTGGTAATGCTATGATGGATGGATGCTACAGCCGCGCGAATATCTTGTGTTATTATAATATATATAGTTACGTGTTGTTTTTGTTTTGATGAGTCATAATACACATACTACACTATATATCCTACACATACTACACTATATATCCTACACATACTACACTATATATCCTACATATACTACACTACAGTGACTACACATACTATACATACATATGCATACAATGTGCGGATGGAACGCATATAGGATCGGTGTGTGCATGGTCGTAATGTTCTTACTTGGCTGCCACGATTTCCCTTTAAAATTCAGCAGATTATACACATAGGAAAGCTAGCTTCTCTCTCTCCATGGCGGTGGGTATGATTCACAGGAAGTGTTTCCTCAGCAAAGGCAGGATGACGGTTGAGCGTGTTAGTGTACAGCCATACCAGACATATCTAACGAAGCTATCTTCATCATTCGTTTTTGATAAAAAAACAAACAAGGTTTTACCGTAAATATTGTTATTCAATTTATCACGAGATTTAGAAGACGGTAAAATCGGGAGTGCACCTGCCGTAGATATTTCGCAGTAACGGATCATCTGGATGGATCACCGCTCTGCCTAGGATATGTCGTATCGAGGGATTGATAAACACACACCGCCACAACGTATCCTCGTGCGTGACAGTGTTGCAGACGAAGATAAAACCTTATTATTATTACTATTATTAGCAGCACATGCATTATTCATGAGAATTAATCCCGGGAGGCTGTGTGGATCAATTTATGTAGATGTTATATCTCATATAGCAGCCTCCTTAGCTCAGTGGCTAGAGCACTGGTCTTGTAAACCAGGGGTCGTGAGTTCAATCCTCACAGGAGGCTACTGATCCTTTGTTTTATGAATCAAGAGGAACTAAAGAAATGAAAGGTGACCGTGGATCCACGGCGGACTCCCTATCTCTTACGCCCTCTCTCTCCCTCTCCCTCTCTCTCTCTCTCTCCCTCTCTCTCTCTCACTTTCCCTCCCTCTCTCTCACGCGCGCTTTCTCTCTTTCTCTCTTTATCTCTTTCCCTCTCTCCCTCTCTCTCTC